CATCCCTTTTTTGTTGTAGCTCTCTTAGAACCCAGGATATTTCATATTGGGGAGTGTATGCATTAGATATTGTCGCGTCATTTTCATTCAAAATTTTGGTTAACATTTTTAGTTTTTCTTTTGTCGACTCTTCAATATAACCCATATAACGCCATGAGGAAATGTGACACTTTGCGCAAGCTGATATAAAAAATTAAGTCGCTCATTCACCAATTTTCTAATCCAGAAGGGATTCACAGCATTCGCATTTTTCCTGGCACTCCCCACACTGTTTCAATCAGTACGTCAATCTAATATCTTCAAAGCAGTGGGATAGAAAATATATTTAACTGCAGGATAACTTCTATTATAAATACTTCAAACTAGTTCTCAATACATGCAAGTATGAAAATAGTAGCTGATGCCATTTTACATATTTCATTCTATATCCACCTCTAATATGCCTTTGTGCGTACAGAGACCATCTGCAACTATTATTAATATAACAAAGGGACAGTACGATATAAGGCAAACATAGCGGGTAACGCGCTGAAACATCCACCCGAAGCTTGCCCTACATTTTTATCGCAAGCAATACCCAGTAATGGCATATGGCGACTGCGGCTGGTCGTCCATAGCAGGTATTGAAAGCAATAATAATTATTGTTTCCAAGTGGAACTTATCTTGCATTTTAATATAAACACTAACCGCGCCTAGCAGGAAAATCGTATTTATAAACGTAATATTGCACTTGCTCGCGAAATGGAAGTCAGTGGTAGCTTGTACAAATATAACGATAGATTTCTCTACTTGAGACGTAGAAACTAGCTAAAAGGATTTATCTACATGAATCGTCGGTAGTTACAAGGAAAAATTCCTAACAATTTTCGTGGATCCCTTATATCCTGATATTCATGCCAAATTTTCTGGTTTTCCTGCGATGTAATATTGCATGGTAGTCTATACTATCGACAGGTATTACAAAATCAAAGCGTTCCTTATTATTTTCTCTAAAGCAATACAAATGGTTTCTAAATACATTCATTACTAGTCAGTACTAATCAACTAATGTATGACGCAAATATAGATAACTCTATTATAAATGCCGAAACCATGGAACCATCCATTGTTGATTGACACTATCGTAAAAAAATTACCTTCCCGTTTTCAAACGAGGTCAATATGTTTTTTTTTTCTTTACTCGAAAGCAGCCGGGCAGGCACAAACCTAAATGCCTAGGTTCGACACGGTTGGGATGGGAGGCCAAAATCAGGCGGGTCTGTCTGGCAGGCACATAGCGCGGCGGTATCATGGGGGTGAGCTCTGAGAAGCAAAGCCCGTTGATGTAGCGGTAGAAGACAGCTAGATAGCCGACATCCCGCTGGTGCAAAAGCGTCCCGAGACTGACTGTTAGGGATGAGTCATCGATCAGTAGGACAGGTCTCCTCTAAACAAAATCGAGCATAAATAATATACTCGAAGCTAGGTCTTATGTAGGCCTTGTATAGAGTGATGAGGTCATGCGGAGAACAGTACTTCTTAGCCATAAACAAATAGCCTAGCTTTTCTCAACAGCTGTCGCTATTGACGAGATGTAATCTCGACAGACCTCGGTGATCTGGATTCCGACCAGCCGAAATGAACGGCTCTTTGGCAGAACTCGGCCATCCATCGAAGCCGTCGAGGTACAGAGCTGTGTTTAAAAGTATTAAACTGTACAAGATTGTTGCGTCCCCAAGCAGTGATAACCGACAGGTCTCTCGTCAGAGAGAAAGTCGCTTTTAGTCTATTTTTTTCCAGATCGGCTTGACACTCTGAATTCTTGCATGTCACCAGCAAAGCTGTGAATTGGATTGACCGAAGGCGAAAAGAGGTCATTGATATATAAGAGGAATAGTGTCGTTTATCAATTAAAGAACATTGCTACCTGTATGTGATTGAGCTTATTGATTTGGCGAGTAGTAGAACCCTGTAGTAAACATATTCTAGAATAATTCTCTTCCAATGTCCTTGGTAGGCATCGCGACATTCTGATGTTGAGTGATAGAAAGTGTGAAAAATTCATGATTCTATATGTATCTGAAACCTTTGTAATTTAAGTTAAAGGACGTCAAGTATATTGACTAGATATTTCACATCGATCCAGTTACGTCTATTTTCAAACTTTCCGTGCTCACAAATTGAAAACCCTTGAGATAACAATGATGATTAAACATCCTTGGAGATATACTCAAAAACAGCTTTGAAAAATGTTCATCCTCCTATTGAAAGTTAGGCTAAGCTGTGAGTTGATGAGAAGCCTGAAAGAGAATCTAGAATAGTTCTCGAAAATTATTTCTCCCATTAACAATCGATTTTTTTTAGCTAGGGCCAAAAGTTAAAAGAAAGTTGTTCTCACATAAACACGAAAATCTGTGCATTCGTTTCTAAGATTACGCAGTGGAAAAAGAACCAAAACAGCGACAAGTAGTCAGATCGACGAAAATGAATGACATGAAGAACACGGAAAAAGAAGATGATCTCAGGTGGATATGAAAATGATAAGTCTGATAAAGTCATAATCCTGACTGTTCTAAATTAGCACTGTATTGGTGCGTGTAAACTCATTCTGCTGTATAGTCCACTGACCCATGTTGCAGCATACAGCATGCAAATGACTGAATAAGTTACTTGCTACACAATTAAAAAAACCACCACTCAAATGAATTTAGTGTTGGCACTTTTTATCAAAAAAATCTCAAAGGTCATACTGGAAAATTAAGACCCGATTTAGTTACCTAACTCAAAGCCTCCTATCTGATACCACATTCAAACATACATTCGCTTACTTTGTATAGCTTATCACCACGTTCATCCCTCCCCCGTAACTTTTAATCAGATGAACTTATTTTTATCAAACGTACCTAAAAACCTTTATGGCAGACGAAACTTTCAATTAAAAAAACGTACTAAAATCGGTTCATCTGTTTGGGAGTTTATGCGTCGAGGGTTAAAAGCCATACGTAAGAAATAGATCCAACTTTTAACTTTACCGATTTTCATTGAAAAGCCGAATCTACAAATCAAGCTCTTCCATCTGAGACCCCAGTCAGGCATATTCGCTTACTTTAGTTCTCTTATCCCCATCCCCACGTTCACAGCTCCACCCCATTACTTTCAAGCGCATGAACAGGTTTTCTTCAAATATAGCCAAGAACCATCTGGACCGACTTTCGCTTAACAAAACCGCACTTAAATCAGTTTATCCGCCGGATACTACAAACACACATAACCATACACACACATATGCTGAGTGATAAACAAAGGTAAACACCTACGTATGTTTATTAGAATTCAAGAATTTTTTACATATCGATTTATCTTGCCATGAACAACAAGTAACAAAATGGTCAGGTTTTTCTGTTAAGCTTTTGTGGGGGCTGCGTATATTATTTTGTGACGAAGAGTCATTCAGTTTTCGTACATATACAGCTTTTGCAGTCAGTTGACGATTCAAGCTGAAAATTCAAACATTTTACTCATAAGTCACACTGAGCATACTATATATATGCCAAAAATTATTAAAGTCAGATAAACATATGTAAGTGTTTACCTTTTTTTGTCACTCAGTACACTATGTATGTTGGGGATAAAAACAAAATGTTTAATTTGCAATCTCTTGGACATATTATGTATTAGGTTTCAGCACCACCCTGTTGAGGTACGCCACTGATCATCGGTATCGTACCTCGGCGCCCCCATTTAAATGGAAAAACGTATTGCAGTAGCGGCGGGTCGAGTCGGAAATGCAAAAAGCCAACTTTATGTCGGATGACAAAAGTTGCAAACGTGTAACTTCCACTCTAATCTGCTTATGTAATCTTCATATACGCCGACGCTATTCTAGTCGGAAAACGCGCGGTTTTGTCTTGATGGCTTTCTCGCTAAGAAATTGAATTCCATGTTTAATGTAACGGTATGAGTATACAGCCGCATTATGCACTGATTGAACTGGGATGAATAATTCTGCTAATCTCGAGATACAGGGTGATTAAAATTGAAATCTTTGAGCTATCCTGGGTTAAGTCAGACATATGGTATAGACGTCCCTTGACGCGAGAGGCCTCTAAGATAGGAACAGTGTAACTAGTCTGTGGTGTAAAAATGACGCTTCCTTCGCAGTAGGCTGTAGCAATGGTCATTAAAATCTGTCATCGATGCCAGAAATATTTTTCTTTGCTGGTCGCATCTTTTTAGCATTTTGATGGCGAAATTGGGACGCAACACCGGAAATAAAAAAACTGAATGTAGGCAACCGTTGCATCCAACTGCTATACTGATTGCACGTTGTCAGACTCAGCATAAGTACTCGTCCAAATTCAAATATTTTGCAATCTTTAGGATTTTAATAAAGTGTGGACCGCTCGGATATTACGTAGCTTGAAGGGTGACGTTCTGTCGGTTTTTTGACATTTTATAAATTTTTGGTAACATAACGTAGGTTTTTCTACAAAATTTCAACTTAGCACTAGCTGTTGTACACTCGCTATGAACTCGTTTTGTAGCTGTACGTGTTGCCTGAACGTCATGATGCTTCAGCTATCAATGGTTGCCTCTGATGTGATGTAACATCTGCCGGCGAAGTCAAATCTAAGAAAACACATAACTATACAATGGAGTAGACATCCTGTGTCTCACTTTGTGAAGTGAAGTGAAAGGAGCAGATGACAGGGATACCAAAAACGAACGTAAATTCCAACAATACAAACATACTGACCAAATCCCACCCAATATTAATGAATGTTTGCCGTGTCACTAATTTTGAATAGAACGTTTTGCATTTAAATAATTGACTGCTGAATATTTAACCGTATAGGGTACACTAAAATGTTATACTGCTATTGAATCAGCCTGTGATTCGAAATTAGTTATTTATAGTTACCTTTTTAGATAAATAGCGGGAAATTAAAGTCAATCACGAATAATCCGCCATTTAATTAGGGTAATTTTAAAATACACACCGATTCGTTGAATTCCTATAGTTATCGAGTTGTGCTGAACGTGTGTAAAAATGAAAATTGTGATAGCTTTGCACGAGAATCTTGTACGTAATGAAGTTACCTGTGGCTGAAATTCGTGAGTCTTGTAAAGGAACTGAAAAGGGTTTGCTGATACAGATTTTGGCAATCTTGATAGATTTTCCAAATGTTAATACGAGACTTTCTTATCTACTGCTAGAATTCTATAAGGTATTTCGTTGATCAATACAGCTTTCAAGGTTGTTCTCCTTTTGTCTATCGTGTATTAATTGCTTAGAAAGTCAGTAGATATTATTATTGTTGGACTTTGGCAGTACTAGCTTTCGTTTTTCTTGTAGTAACATTTACTCAAATCAAAAGCAGTTTACCAAGTTGGTGGGCATAGTGCTTTTCTAAACTCGGACTATTTGTGCATTCCTTAGATTTGTTCGAGTAAATGTTTTTAACCTTTTGGGGAAGCGATGTTTCACGTGATTAGTGAACGACAGTGGCCTTGATATAGGGTGGGCCATTCGCTGGTTTCTTTTTTAAATTGGCATTAACACTACACTCTTCAATAATATGTAGCAGTCGATACTTCATTCAAAAGACTACACCTTCCGATTATTTATGAAAAACAATTTCAATTAAATGGCTGCCGCGGCTCTTAACCCTACTTTGAAGCACATTTTCGATAGTTTGTGGGTCTATTGCATCAATTGCTCGACGGATATTTTCCTTAAGAACATCAGTTGTTTACGAAACGTTAGTGTAACAGCGGCACTTAACAGTACCCCATAGGAAGTAATCCATGGGCGTCAAATCACAGCTGCGAGCTGGCCAATGAACGTTTCCGAAACGGCTGACAACGCGATGACCGAACTTAGTGTGTAAAAGACCGATTGTTTCACGGCTGGTGCTGCATGTTGCGCCATCCTGCTGGAACTAGAGATTGTGCAGGTGCATGTCATGTCGTCTAATAGTGGCCACAAAAAACTCCTCAACATGTCGATGTAGCGTTCCCCGTTTACCGTCACGCTGTTACCATCTTCATCTTGAAAAAAGTAGCGATCAATAATCCCACCACTCCAGAAGCTGCACCAAATAGTCACTCTTCCTGGGTGCATTGGTTTTTCGATGACGACATGTGGATTTTCAGAACTCCAAATCCTACAGTTCTGCTTGTTAACGTAACCTCCCAGATGGAAATGGGCTTCGTCCGAAAAGATGATTTGGCGACCAAAATTGACGTCCGTTTCCAATTGATTTAGGTCCCACACAGAGAAACGATGATATTGAAGAAGATGGTCATTTTGTTTCAACTCTTGCACAAGTTGCAACTTGTAAGGAAATAATCCCAGGTCGTATTGCAATATTCTGGACAACAGCAGCAATGTTTTCGGGTGAAGGTGCGGGTCGAACACCCTCATACCTTCTGTTATCCACAAGCAGGCCAGTTCCACGTACCTTCTTCACGAATTTTCGTATACTAGTCGCGTACGGAGCCTCATTCCGACCAAATAGTCTTCTCAATTTTCGCAAAGCTTCTACAAACCAGCACTCACTTTGATAATAGTTTTTCAATATTTCCCACCTTTGGTCAAGACTAACAGCGGAAGCTTAACACAATATATCTGTCAATATGTTGAGCATGGAAGTGTTACCTACTGTCAAAATAATACAAACTGAAAAAAACAACTCATTGTTCTTTTTAATGTATGATTTTGAAATCCCAAAAACTACACCTAAAAGGGGATCCAAATCGACAAAAAATAATAAAGGAGGTTGATCAAAAAGTTCAGGTGATGGAGCGACTGTTTTGGATTATAGTATGCCACTTATGACAGAAAGTCGCATGTTTACACTCACAGCACATGTTTCAATATAATGTCATATGATCAATCATCTTGTCACTACTGATAGTGAGTAGGTAAAATTAGACAAATTACCAATATAGTTGATTTACGGCACATATTCGAGCAGTTTACACGCGCTGAAGGCCTTGAGTTCTGATTTATATATTTAACTTACGAACTATGAACATATTTCATCGCTTACCCAAAATGCAAATATTATGTATTTATATTTAGATTTGTTCGAATGCGCCATAAGCATATACACGGGATTTAATTTAGATTAAACAAGCGTATTCAATTTAGGACAATGAGCGTCGATAAGCATACAAGTTGTATAATTGACGGCTTGTTCATAAAAAAAATTTCACATGGTACAAAAGTTCATTTTCCAGATGTCCTGTAATAATTTGGTTGTTTCTGATTCGAGATTTCGTCTACTAGTCACCCATTCGTCGATTTGGCCATGGAAGCCATGAAAGCACAAATTGTCCAAAAAAATCTCAATTCCAGCTTTGAGTAGTTTGCTCCCTCGATTTGTTAATGAAAACCCATTGTTCAGACACTGAAATTGACCGTTAAAGATTTGAAAAGGGCAACAAATACTTAGACCTGCTTCATTACTAAAAAATATATGGGGATGTACGCTTTATGCTTGCTTGCATTTCTTATGCTACGTTCTCATAGTCCACGACCCTCAGTAGTTTACTTTTTAGTCCCCACTCCAGTCAGGAGTCAAGATAGTAAAATCTAAAACGTATCATGCTCTCATCTTTTTGACCCGTGAAAACGTAGCTTTTGAGTACGCCACCCAAATCGCTTATCGTTTAGCCCTTGTAAACTGCTTTTTCATAATATACAAGGTGGTGCCCTGGAGCGGGAAGTTTTGATAATGTTGTTATTCCGTATCTATGCTTAGTTGGCTATGGATTGTTGTTTAAAATTATCTGTCACTGTATGCCATTCAGTAGTCATGGAGCAATGGTCTGGCAAGCAACGTGCATTTGTGATTAAGTCGTACTATAAAAACAATAACTGTCGGGTTGCCGCTCAGCGACATTTCTGACTTTATTTCCAAATTGGTCCACATTACAGAGCTCCACGAACAACCATTACATAGCCCAAAAGTGACGGTATGGTGTGCGATGTCTTCAGTGGGAATTATAGGGCCCTACTTTTTTGAAGATGAGAATGAGAATGCTGTTTTCATTAACTCTGTGCGTTATGCCGATATGATTAACCAGTTTTTGAGACACCGCTTGCGCAGATCTCTACATAATAATCAAACATGGTTCCAGCAGGATGGTGCTACTTCACACACCACGAGAGCGTCATTAAGTTTCTTGCAAAGGTTGTTTCCGCAACTTATTAAGATCTATACTTTCGTCTTGCATGTTGGATAATAATCTGAGTGACGTAAAATGCAGGTTATTTTTTTCACTTATCCAAAGTCTACAAGACGTTCCTTATTGAATACCCATACCTACACGTGTCGTATCTAGACTCGTATGGCTATTCCAGAGTTAGAATTTTGGAAGTAATCAGATATTCCCGGCAGTTAATATCCCAAATTGACCACGGTTTTGCCCAAAACCATCAATGTTTGCTGTGGCTTGCTCCACATTAACTTCATTGACTTGATGAACTCCATGTTTTCAGGCCGTTAAGTGAAACCATATGTCTAGGATTGACTTTATACTATCCCACCTCAGTGGAGGTACAAATCAAAAATCAAAAATGGAATTGTAAATAAAAAACTTCATGCTGCTTGGCAAGTAATGTTGACTTTGTAAGATTGGTACATCACCCATTAAGATAAATTAATCATTAGGTGGACATACTCTTTATTATTTTTTTTTATTTCACTTTGTGTATTACATTCTGGAGTTTTTACTAAAAAAAATTAAAAAATCTACATAATTAATGCCGTTGGGCTAAAAACTGTTTGAGGGACCTGGGGTGATAGAAAAAGACCTCCCCTGTCCGCCATTTGAATTTGGCAAACGATGCACCAAAAAATATTTATTTTCATTGTTATTTTTGATTTATGCTTTGCTGAAGGCCGTCTAGGTCGCCGAAACGTTAGCAAAAAGTTAATCTCACATTCATGGTTTCATTGAAGGAGCAGCAAACACGGATAACCACAGGAGAAGTTTCAGATGTTGCGTCAGGAATTATGAAGCAAATTTTTGGAACATCCTTGCATATCTGCACTAAGATTCTTTGGTAAGTGCGATTCCTGGGTTATCGAATAAAATGAGAAGACTCAAAAGTCCTACTTTCCTTTGAAAATATGCCGTTGAGAAACTTTTTTCTATATGCATTTCGAGCACAAATAATATACATTTACCGAAATACTGAATATCAATTTAGAACAGCTCAAAATTTTAGTCTCTCAATATGCACGCAAAATGTACGTAGTCTTCAAATGGATGATTAAAATTCGGTGATTTTAACTTTCGATCCACTTATCGGTCGAGTACATGGCTTTTCAATTAAAATTACTAGCGCTCTACCACTTTGTAGTTTATTTTAAATAAAAATCTCCTAGCTATAAAGCACGATACGATCATCAATTCCATGAAGCAGTGTCGGAACTGGGCTGATTCGGCAAACGTATGTGGTACGGGCAAAAACTAGGGTTATAAAAAAATTAAGGATATTCATGTAGAGAAATGAGATACCTTTACTATAGAGCGAGGAAACTTCTTAATCGCGCCACAAGGCTTTCTATGAAAACGCTCCAGTCGACCAACTGTATTGGGAGCGAGACCGCAGCAATCACGTGAAACGGCGAGAACAAATGTTTTGATGGATTACTATTTTTCATGTGTGGTTCCAGTGTAGTGCCAGCGGTACATGGTGTCGAGTATTACAATTTTCTGCGTCTGGTTTGTTATTGGAAAGCACGCATAAAAATTGATTCCTCGGAGAATATTTGAATCAAGGAAAGTATGTGGACATCAAGGGCCACTAATCTAAGCTGAGCAAATACTTGAATATTTAATGCTGTTAGTAAACAGTGTGTCACCTACGTCAGAAATCTCTTTCAATTTAAGGGTTTAGTTGGAGCTTTGCTCTTTCAATTAGGAATAGGAAAACTTTGAGATGAAGTTTGGCAGAGAAAGGTTTAGCAAATCATCGCCTTATATTAAGCAATCAACAATGAATAAAAAATTGGATTTCTTGGGTTCGTGAATACCTCCACATTACAACTGAAGACTGGAATAACTCTAATGGGCGCTTGTGAATCTCAAGGTTTATTTCTCAATTTTTGAACTTCTACCCGACAGGACTAGCTTGTGTAGTTAGTAATAGGCGCTGAGTGAGTTCGACGCCTCTACATCCTGAACGAACAGACGGCCAGCCATGGACAGCTGTTTCGTGCTGTTTGATAGCTCTTCAGCATGGTGTAACTTTACTCAATTCAGAAAGGTTTCACAAACTAAACATATTTCTGTATACTTGGTTGTCTTTTTTAAAATCAACCTATAATTTCTATTATTCTAAGGTACTTCTATAGTTTCTAGCTAATGTTTGAAATAATAAATATATTTTTATTTGAAAGGAAACTGTGTTCTATTTGATAACTTAAGATCAATACGAAAATACACATTTTGTTACTACTACCAGGCTTGCACAACTTCGAGAAGCTTTGGAACTTAGATAGGAAAATGTCTTAACAATATAGTCTAATCATATTAGACACAAATACCCCTGGTGTACGAAATAATTGTGAAGCCTGGTTTTATTGCTGCAAGTTGTTGAAGGGGATATTCAAATCATTTTTGTGGGAAAACTTTTTATTCGACAACAAAGAATGAGAAGACCCGTTTTTTGAGATCCAATCGAAAGTGTTGGCAGGAACGAAAAATCTCATGATATAGGATTTTTAGGTATTTATGCGACCTACAAAATGAGACCACACGTAAAAAAATCCGAGTAATAGTAAAAAAGTTATAGCTGAAACCGAGGCATACTGCAGGTTCTGGCACTTGTTGGTAATGCGACAATGGTTTCTTGCAGATATTTGAAATTCTTCAAATTCGTAGTATTCTTGCTACTAAACAACCACAACAAAATTTGAGTAGATTGGTCAAGTAGTTTTTGAGAATTTCTAGTTGTTAATTACTAAACACCTGTTTTACGGCCATCACTACTAGTCTATTGAACAATATACAGGGTTAGTTCAAAGGCCATTTGGTAGCAAAATACACTAGTTTACATTGCGATATGAATCTCAAACCATTCAGGAAGATAAATGTTATTTTTATGCAAAAAAGGATGGGTTACGTTTTTTCTTCTAAACAAATTCAAATATTTCGTACTTGTGAGTAATTCGCAACAAAAGATGATACACACATCCGCTTTGTTTTGACATGTGTATAGTAACGTATGTTTTCCGAATTTTGTTCAATTACTCACAAATACGAAACGTATTGTTTAGAAGAAAAAAAAGTAACCTTTGTTTTTCCCATAAAAATAACATTTATCTCTCGGAATGGTTTTTGATTCATATCGGCAAGGTAAACACGTGTATTTTGCTATTAAATGGTCTTTGAACGAACTCTGTATATTGATTGCTCAGTAAACTAGTAGCTATGGCAGGAAGACGGGTGTTTCTGGATAACAGGACCAATTGACTCCAATTTTGTTGTCGTTACTTAGAAGTATGAAGCCTACTGATATGAAAAATTTCAAGTAGCTGCGTGGAATTATCTTCGCATTAGCAGAAAGGCCAAAACCTTCATTTTGCCTCGTCTTTCGGTCATAACTTCTTTACTATTAGACGGATATTTTTACGTGTGGTCTCATTTTGTAGGTGTTATGAATTCCTAAGCATCCTATTTGGGGCTAGTACTTTGATCACCTCGTCTGTTTACTAGTCAATTTTGCAGGGAATTCATGTTGTTTCTTCCTTTTTAATTTTTTTTGCTCTGCAAATAAACGCTATTATTATTTAAAGAGTTTTTCCTTTTCAGCCAACACTTTCGGTTGAATCTCTAAAAACGAGTTTTCTCATTCTTTGTTGTCGAACAAAAAGTTTTCCCACAAAAATTAGTGTACCCATTTTAAGCGTCCATGTTTAAAATGCCCCCTTGAACAACTTGCATCAATAAAACCAGATTCTAATATGATTAGACTATAGCACTAACCAAATTTTATGAAAACGGTTTAGCTTTTCAATTGACACAAACTACTCAAAGTTGCAACGAAACTAAGAAAGATGCAAACTGCCCCACACAACTTAAAACCCAACTAAGCAAGATCTTGTGCGAGCTGCGCATGTCAGAATCTCCGAGACCCGTCAAAATCCTGTGTACTGTTTCGACCATCCGAAACCTATTTTGAAACCAAAAAATTGGTTTGCTGAAACAGCGGATCGATAATCCCCAACTAGGTTTTAACCTTGCTTGAACATGTTTCATTCAATGCGTATGCTGAGTCGGTTTCAAACAGTTGGAAATGTGATGGTTTGAACATTACTAATGTTAGCTTGCTGGACTCGCTTGACTACCTATAAATAAATAATTGATGATTTTTCTCCCTTTAGCAGCATGACTGACATGTCAATTCCAAGGATGACAGTTACGCCTGTTTACTTAGACCTATGAAGGAAGCGGCGGCGAGCATCACCACTGGCGGGCGAGAACAGCGGGTAATTTAAATGATGGATAATTCATAACAGTCTATTCCCATGGAGGACTACTTTCGTCTGCAGATCAATATTTTGCTATACATTAATTTTGACGATTCAACGAACCCTGTATATTGCTCAATAAACTGGTAGTGGTGGCCAAAAAACAGGTGTTTTGGGTTAACAATTAGAAATTCTCAGAAAACTACTTGACCAATATAATCCAATTTTGTTGTAATTTAGAAGTATAAGTCCTACAAATTTGAAGAATTTCAAGCAGTTGCGTGAATTATCGTCACACTACAACTAGTGCCAAAGCCTGTATTTTGCCTCTTTTTCGGTCATAACATTTTTGGTATTAGTCGAATCTTTTTAGGTGTGGTTTCATTTTGTAGGCCTCATAAACACCTAAAAATCTTATACAGGGTGTTTCAGTTTATTGTTGCATAACTTTAAGATTCGATAGAACTTTTAAAATTAATGCATAAAGTAAAATATATACATGGGTCGAAAAATGCGTGGCTTCCGAAATACAGGGTGTTTAAATTCACTTTCTAAAATAGATTTTTTTAAATATTTCGAACAATGTTTGATGTATAACAGTGAAAAATGGTATACAAGGGCTTTTTGGTACGACAAAACGAACCATGGCATAGTTTTACTGTAGCAGCTAGAGGGCGCTCTCTACTGTACCTGTAGTGTAATAAAATGACCTGTATAAAAAGTGTTTTCGTTCCTGTCAATACTCTAGATTGAATCCCAAAAAAAACACGTTTTCTCATTGTTTGTTGTCGAATAAAAAGCTTTCCCACCAAAATTGGTGCATCCATTTTATGCGTCCATGTTTTAAATACCTCCTTGAACAACTTGCATTAATAAAATAAGACTTTACAGTTATTTCGGAGAAATTTGCTAATATGATTAGAATAATAGCTACTCAATGTTTATAGCATGTAGCATAGAATAGCAAGATACCACTTGGAGAAAACAAAATAACCAATATCTCTTAAAGTTCTTGTCCATATTATTATGTTACCATAAAGGGGACAAAAAAGTTATTTGGAATTGGAAAATGCTTCAGGTATCTGATTTTTGGTAAGTCAACTGATTGCAAGTTTCACTAACACATAGATCGCAGGATAAGAGCGATTTCTGTAGACTCAAAGGCAAAAGCTATAAAATTTAGCTTCCGGCTAGTCCAAAAAGAAACGATAAATATGAATAGAGACCTTCCGCAAACAGTATAAGCATCATGATAACCTCAGTGGCAAGCGAATATGATCGTTGCATTGCCGTTGTTGATACCCCCGAACTGCCACTGTGCCAAATATTTGGCTGATTTTGCCGGTCGAGAGGAGTCTTAATCCAGTTATACAATCATGTGAAATATAACGTTACGCATTTGGTTAGCGTTGACAAACTCAAACATTCTGACATATTGAATCTTTACTGATGAGGGTATTCTAGAACAGCTACAATACCTTGGTGGCGAACAATAGACACTGCTCAAAATTAATTTTCATCGATAAAAATGAATCATCCTCAGAGGAATATTCCACATAAAGGCTTGTCACCGCAGGTGTCTGTGTATTCTACGAGCTCCTTCCCACTTCAGTTGGCCCACTTCAAGATTTGTACCAAAATATGCCTTTGTAAACTAAACATGACTAAATTATTTATTTCTAAAACAATTTATTTTCTCAAAAACATTTTAGATACACTCTAGTCGTAAAAAATACATATTTGAAATCACCTAGACCTATAACTAGTAGAACATCTGAACAAATAACCAATGTGCGAATAAATGCGCGAAGTTAACAAAGCAACAATTGAAAGATTACTATTAAGTAACATCAACTTTATTTTTTATTACGGCTGAAATTCTTTGGGGCATAGTGTTAACCAAGTTTTGTCAAAAATTTGGTGTAAAACAATCCCATATTTCTTGAAGCTTTTCTCTCAGTTCGGTGATTGTACGAGCAGGATGTTGTCGTAGAACCTTTTTCATCTCGTGCCACAAAGTTTCAATAGGTGACAGATCTCGACTGCTAGAAACCCATTTCAAAAGTGGTACATTATTTTCTTCCATCCATTTTATAGCCTTTTTTGAGGTATGGCACGCTGCACCATCTTGCTGTATTTCATTATTCATTTTATTGTAAAAACTATTAAAATCCCTGTATAATAAACCCTCAGTCAGCTAAGATAAGTACCTTACCTTAAAAACTCTGTATGTTTGACGCAGGTGGGTATCTATACATGCAAACAAGAAATTCTATTTTAAGAGCTACAGTCCAAACGACTTGATGGATTTTGACATGTGAGGTACTGTTAGATTCGTCCTAGCAGTATGAGTGATACTGTGTATTTCCATTTTTTAAGACCAAAATGGTGGATATCTACGCAAATAGTCAAGTCAGCTTAATGAGCTTGAGCATTCAACTCGGCATTTCAGGTGCGGAACATTCAATCTTTCATCCGACCAAAATTACTAAGTCGGGCAATGGACCAGCGCGGAATTTGTATCTAACGTTAGAGTCATGTCATATTCTCCGCGAGATTATGCAGAAATGTATTACTATGATGGTGCTGCCTTAGGAATTGCTCGAGCAGCTGCTCACATGTATCGCGGGTATGTGGTTAGAAGAGGTGGACCACAACCGGGGGTATACCCCGATTACCGCGTTTTTCTACGTGTCCATAATGCGTATATGGAGTGCCGCAGTCTAGGCACCCTTCGTCAGCTCGGAGCGCCGAAGATACGCCCAGAAGAAATAGAAGATATAATAGAAACAGCCGAGAGAGATCCCTCTATAAGCACCAGAGCCATTGTCCGAGGCAGAAACATATCCCATACTTCAGTGCACACAACGCTCGGAGAACATGCATCCTTACCACGTGCGAAAAGTACAAGAATTGATTCCAAGCGACTATGCACAACGGGTTGATTTTTGTGAGAATATGTTTGAAAACGGTGCGAAGAGGATGAAACTTTTTTCGACAGCATCTTATAGACAGTTGAATCCAACTTTAACCGAAATGGAATATTCAACATGCACAATTTCCATTCATTGAGCGTGGAAAATCCACACGCTATTCGCCGACACAGCTTTCAACGTCAGTTCGGCGTTAATTTATGGGCTGGAGTACTCAACAAAAAAACTAATTGGACCATATGAATTGCTCGCCACCAGTTCCGCTTCGGCTGTCTTACAAGAAAGACGTACCTGTATCGGAGCGATCATATAATATAGTTAGCGAGGGTTACCGGGTTCTATATAGATTAATTAAATACATTTCCTAAATATGCCTCCACCTCCTACAGGGGTGGGAGGCCCCAGTGGTAGTGACACTAATGTGAACATTGCTGTGTGCTATGATTTAACATTTAGTGAAGATTCTCCTCAGTGTGAAATAAATTCCAGCGTCAACTCGAGCGAATACAACGCTGCGATAACAGAGGACCGGCATACCATCTCAGAAAAAAACAACAACAACAACCACGACTGTTTGAGATTGAAAACGCTAAGTATTACTCAAATAATAATATTTATGTGTTTATTGAGAAGACCAACAGCCAAAATATTGGCAGACTACATCCGCTTCACGTAGGACATATACTCCACAAAAACCTTAAATTGAATGATAAAATAACGACTATTAGCCGCGTCGGCTTAAATCGTATAAAAGTAGGTCTCAAAAATTTGAACGATGCTAATCACTTAGCTTGTAACACTGAACTCGCAGCAGAGAATCTAAAAGCATACATCCCAAATAATTTATTAATAAGAAAGGGTTTAATCAAGGGTGTTGATACTCAGTTTAGTGAGGAATATTTAAAAGAAAATATAATTTCTGATATAAGCGTACTGGAGGTCAAGCGTCTAAAGAGAAAAATTGTTAGTGATGGCACTCATCAGTTAGTTCCTAGGCAAATGGCAGTTGTCACATTTAATGGCAATATGCTTCCCAACGAACTTTATATAAACAGCGTGCTATTTCAAGTTGAGCCATTTGTACAAAGGGTAATACAATGCTATAAATGCTTGCGTTTTGGACATGTCTCTGGACAGTGTCGCAGTACTCACTCCAGGTGTATTATATGTGGCCAAGTCAAAGAGGATGAACATACATGTAATGAAACCAATACTTACTGTCTTTTCTGTAAAAACTCTTCGCACAGATCCACATCAAAAGATTGTCCTTCGTTTCAGAAGCAACAAAAAATTAAAAAGACCATGGCCACATCAAATCAACCCTTCACAGAAGCCAAAGAATGTATAGAACACTCTTACTCAAACCATGTTTCAACCTCCAATAGATTCCAAGTATTGGAAAATATCAACGAAGTAACCTTCCCACATCTCCCTAACCGCCCTCAAACAATTTCTCCTAGCAGGCAACATGTTCATCAGATGACAAATACTGGACCTTCGTCTACAGCATTTAGTGCAAATAAAAAACGTAAAGCTCAATCACCCCCCATAAATTTTCCGACAGAGGAAAACATTTTTTTAGTGCAGGACCTCCTAATCCAGTAACTTCAAGTAGGATCTATCAGTCGAATATTTCAGAAAAAAACGAAATGGTTGACATAGTTTCAAAAATTTTTTTTGAACTTGTAAACAAATCCGAAAACTTAGGTGATATTAAGAAAATCAGTAATAATTCATTGAAAAACGAAATACATTGCATAATAGGTAAGTTAATAAATTCCACTTAGCGTCTTCAATAATACCGATAATGTGCTAAAGGTGATGCAGTGGAATGCACGTTCCGCTGTGTCCAATCGAAACAGTTTGAATATGTTCTTTTCAAAAAATGATATTGACGTAGCCCTAGTAAGCGAAACTTGGTTCAAGCCAAACGATACTATAAGATATCATGGCTACAATATTGTGAGGAGGGACAGAATTGATGGCAAAGCTGGTGTAGCCATTTTTGTGAAAAAAGGTATAAAATTTTGTGAAATATCATTTTCGAATAATTTTAATGATGATATACTTGTATGCGGGATAAATCTTATTAACCAAACATTTGATTTAACTTTGTTGTCTATATACAGGCCCCCGAACATCAATTCAACAGCTGGTGATTGGGACACAATCTTCTCTAATACTAGCATATCTTCTATTATTGGTGGAGACTTTAATGCACACTCTCATCTCTGGGGATCCTCATTTAATAATTCCATAGGTTATCAGTTAATAAATATATGCGAATCAAAGAATTTAGTCGTTATGAACGATGGTTCGCCTACTAGGCTTGTAGCTCCAAATCAGCAGGTAACTGCTCCAGATGTTACAATCTGCTCCCGAGATATTGCACAAATAAGTCATTGGCAACTTACTTCTGATACATTAGATTCGGACCATTTTCCTATTCTTATGTTTATTCCTCTATCTGTCCAAGTATATGACACAATCTATCCTAAGTATAAGTGGAATATGAAAAAAGCCAATTGGAGTTTGTATCATGACTTATTGGAAGATATTTTCGATTCTACTCCAGAATTTTACTCCACTCAAAGTATATACGATTATCTCATTGAAAAGATCAATGATGTTTGCGAGATCTCCATCTCTATACTAAGGCCATTTAAAGCTAAGAAACGGCCACCCCCTCCTTGGTGGGATGAACAGTGTATAAGTGCCATAGCACAAAGGACCTCAGCTTTAGCAACGTACAAACAGGACAATTCTTTAGCCAACTTCGTCCATTGCAAGAAGGTATTTGCTGAAACAAAGAAACTCTTCAAACAAAAATCAAAAAATAGCTGGAAAGAAAGCATCAACTAATTCTGATTGGGCAGACGACTTCCATAGAAAATGCTCTCCGCCCTTCGTGGCTGCAGAAGTCGAACCTCCCCCACGTTTACATCAAGACAACTTTTTCAGCAGACCTTTCAACATGACGGAACTAAATCTTGCAGTTAAAAATACCAGAAACACATCACCTGGCTGCGATGATATCACATATCCAATGCTCGTGAACCTCCCATCTAATGCAAAACTATTCCTTCTGGATATATTTAACAACATTTGGCTGAATGCAGACACAATTAGCCAATGGAAAAACATCGTTATAGTTCCAATTTTGAAGCCAAACATGGATCCCAATTGCGCTGACTTATGAGTCAGCCCGATATATCTTTTATCCTGCGTCATGAAGACTTTTGAAAGATTGATCAAAAATCGCCTGGAATGGTGGTTTAGATCTCATCCACTTCCTAACAACCAATATGCCTTCAAGAAAGGAGTTGGAACAGCAGACGCTATTACGAATATTGTCACCGACATTCAGATGTGTTTCACGCGAAACAACTACTTAGCAGGCATCTTCATAGACATTACAGGTGCATATGACAACATCAATTTAAACATACTTCGAAACAAACTGGAAAAATTTGGCATCCCACCTCACTTTAGTTTTACTGTAACATACCTATACCGCGATAGGAATATTTTTCTACGCAACGACAGTGGCGGAAAGATTGGACCTCGACTAGTGCAGGAAGGTATCCCACAGGGCGCAGTTTTAAGCCCAATTTTATTCAATATCTTCTCGGCAGACTTACATAATGTGCAAACCCCATGTCAGCTGGTCCAGTATGCAGACGATATTTGTGTATATATAGAGAACCGTCAACTTAATCAATGTATATCTACGCTAAATTCTTCAATGGAACACTACAAACAGTGGCTAATGGAACGTGGTTTCGACATATCGTTGAAAAAATCATCGTTTTGCGTTTTCTCACGACACAATGTATCATTACAGAGGAACATACTACTGGGAGGGTTATCCTTCAAAGTTGAAACTTCTGTCAAATATCTCGCTCACATGGAAGCCGTATATCGAACAAGTAGTCAGTAGATGTGAGAAAGCCTTCAATTTTTTCCAGATGATCTGCAAGGTATGGTGGGGCTCCGATCAAAAGATCGCAATATTATTCTTCAGATCATATGTTAGATCTATCCTTGATTATGGCAGCATATTCTATGGCTCTGCCATTAAAAATCTGCTTCATATGCTAGATATAACTCAGAATAAATTTCTCAGGAAATGTCTTGGAGCAATGCAATCGTCACCAGTCGGACCTTTGCGAGCAGAAGCACAGGAGCCTCCTTTACATCTTCGAAGGCAAATGTTATCTAGCAGATTTCTACTTAAGGTACAACACGCGGACAGCCACTTACTGAGCAAAATTCATCGTCTAAACACCATGGACTTGACATGCAAATATTGGACCAAAAGAAACTCCCGCCTCTATGCAGTGCCATACAATATGCCAACAGAATACAACTAACCTCTCATAGTCAACGATTGATCCAAGATATAAGTGACTTTCATTTACTATCAGGATTTGATGTTAGAGTACCAGCTTACAAGCAACAACCACACCACATTCAGAACCTACTTCGAGAAGTGCAGAGTAAATTAGCAGGTGATGCATTCATTTACACCGATGCATCGAAGACGGCGTCAGGAACGGGATGCGCTCATTATATTCCTTCAATAGATATTTTTTCCATGTTTAAACTACCAAATGAATTCACGATTTTTTCTGCAGAAGCTATTGCTATATTCCAAGCCCTACATTTTGTAGAGGACCACAATCTTGGTAACACGTCTATATTCTCGGACTCCCTCTCTGTTGTCAGTAGTTTAAAAAACGGCAGTCCTTTCGATATGCAAAATATACACTTATTCAACATAAGATGGAAAATAAGTCAGCTAATACAGCGAGGCCTCAGGATTACACTAGTTTGGGTGAAGGCCCACTCTGGGATAATACACAACGAAAAAGCTGACGATCTAGCAAAGATGAGTATAACATCTGGAACTAAGCTGGATATACCCTTAAGCATGCAAGACAATCGAGTGATACTTAAAGGTAATTTGCTCAAGCGATAGCGCAGTGAATGGATAGAATACTGTTTTACTAATCCTATAAGATACAACCTCATACACCCTAGCCTGCCACGAGGATACTGGCACGAAAATTTCAAAATACCCAGAAAGTATATTTCTTGCATCACCCGTGCGAAAATAGGACATGGTGTTTTTCCATCCACACCTTGCAAGATTAAATTTGGTCCCATCTGCACTGTGCGATGTTTGTGAAG